CTCTCTCCCTCTCTCTCTCTCTCTCTCTCTCTCTCTCTCCACATTACCCTCTTACATTTTCTCTGTTGCCTGATTTCCTGTGTTATCTTTTCAGCGGATTGCGTTTGCAAGACATGCTACCGTCTCTTTAATATCCCGCACCCTTGTTTAAAGAGGACATGTACATGTGGAGATAGCAGGGTGGAGAAAATATGTGAAATGTGTTACGTTCGTAGTGGTGTGCTGCATCCATTCAGAGGAGAATTCCAATTTGGCTATCACAAATAGGGTTACCCCTACTGCTCACATACGATGCTAAGCTAGACTTGGTGAGTTGGTGGTGGAGCAATATGTGTGTTCGAATGCTCAATGTGTATGATTCGTCTTTACACCACTCTTGGCAATCTTATGTACTTGAGAACTTTGGCAATCATATAAGTACGCCGTCTCTTCTTCTTTTTTGCGAATAAAAGTCTGATAATAACTCGCAAAATTTAAGTGTTGAATTGGCATGGGACACAAAGATTATTAGCCAGCTAGTGGCGTTGCGTGCATCTGAAACTGATCCCTGCTCTTATAGCTGTTTGGTTCCAGGATGAAGTTGGGTGGATTGAGGGTGTCCTTGTCCACCTGTTTAGGGATAGGTTTTCTTTTCTTTTCTTTTCTTTTTGTGTGGGTGAAGTATAAGAAGTGGGTTAAGATAACCAGGCTAAATACTCCTAGGTACCTGATAGCAAAGTAGTGAACTAGATCTTGAAATAAAACATGAACATGAAACAATACCGAGTTGCCAAGTAGTAGGAGGAGAAGTGATCTCTGATTGTGTGACTGTTGAAGGCTGATTGTGTGACTGTTGAAGAATGAGCTCACGACTTATAGGCTTGGTTAAGGAAACGTGGCTCATAGACAGTGGTTTGGTCAAGGGAACGAAACACACTGCTTGGTTAAGGTGCTTGGTTAAGGGAACACGGCTCATAGGCAGTGGTTTGGTTAAGGGAATGATGCACACTTGAGCCCATAGCGAATGCGAATCTTAATAAGGTGATTGTAATTGTGCTCATGGACCCGAACCTAATTGATCTATCCATGACCACGATGAAAGTTTGTGTTTTGTTGAAGGAAAACGTATGGAGCCAGACTGCCGGTTGAACGTTCCGCTGGACGCACGCGGCTCGTTGGATCAAGTTAGATCGAACGGTCAGCAAAGCGTGCGCCCCACCTTACCAAACCCACGGGGTTTTCCCTTTTGCGCAGTTTTTGCTACAATTGTGTTGTAATATTTCAGAGCAGGGAGAGAGAGGAAGCACGGGCGGTGGCGTTCGACGGCCGAACGCCGACGGGGTTGTTGGCGCCAGGAGATCAGGAGCGGCGGCGGCAGCTCAGTGCGAATCTCGATTCTCCAGCGACATATGCCCCCCCTGGAAGGTAACTCTTCCCACGTCCTCTCCCCTTTATTGATCTCTCCCCCCAAATCGCGCTAGGGTTAGAGCGCTGATAGCTCGCCGCGGTGGTGCTGGGTGGTCGCCGCCGTGGCGCTTGACTGGGTGGTCGCGCGCGGTGGGTCGTCGCTGTTCCAGGGGGCCGATTTTGTTCAAAGGGAGGGGTGGCTGGTGGCTAGGGATTTTGGAGGATTTTTGTTCCTCCACGGTTTGATGTAGGTTTAGCTTGCCGCTCCCCTCTACCAGGTTGCGATTTGCCACAGCTAGCCGCGACCTGTTGTCTCAGACGCCATGGTGCCCTCCAGATCTGCGCCTTGACCACCGTAGCTATTCTATTTGACGGTTGTAACTTTTTTCCCTGCTGGTTGCATCTTTCCCTGTCGTCAGTTGTAGAAAAAATGCCATGGATTTCTTCTGTGTTTGCTGAGGAGGAAGAATCACAATAGAGAGATTTGCTTTTTGCTGTTTTGTTATGAATGAGATAGATAGATGGTTATTTTTTCAGTCATATTTTGCTGCTAATGCATATCCTATGAAAACCTGTGTTGGGTTCTTCAATGTTGTGGTGATCCTCTGGGGTTTGTGACTATTTAGCAAGGAAAAAGATAGCAATTGGTTAAGAGATTCCTCCATTTTTAAACGCAGCACCTGGTTGGTTGATTTTGAAGCATTTGGTGGTGATTCTGATGAACATCAAATGTTGATTTATCGTTAATTTGTGCACGTGGGCTTTAGTTTTTGTTTGTCGCTTTTCATAGGTTGTATGTTTTTGCTCGTGACTAAAATGTGTTGGAACCTGTTAGCTTTTCTCGTGTTATCCACTCGATTTCATTGCCTATTCCCAATCTGGAAACTTAAATTAATCACGTTTTCAACCGATGTATTTTTTTTGTTTCATGGATCTTGTTGATTTTACATTATTATACATGCTAATTTCAGAGAGCAATATTATTCTATACATACTTGTGTGTTTCATAGGTTTTCAGATTTTTTTAATGTGTGCGTGTATATGTTTTCTAGCTACTGTTTTGATGCAGCATAGATTTAATTTAGTTTTCTGGTGAGAATGAGGGGAGTAAGAAGGTTAAGAAGAAAAATAAGAAGAAAGGCAATCTATGTGGTTTCACGTTGAGGTTTAACTCAAAACGGCTGGGTGATCTTGGGAAGTTGTTATCATCGGAGAAGCAGAGAATTATAAGGAAGGGACCATTCGGAGACTTGCTCGACATCCAGCCTTTCAAAGTGCCTCATGAGCAAATCGAGCTTGTTGTGATGCACACGAATCACATACTCCGTGAGTTCCATTACAAGAACAAGTCCATCAACTTCAGCAAGCTCATGGTGAAAAGGATCTTCAATGTGCCATCCGGTGATAGACCTGTGAAGCTTTTAAAAAAGAGCGATGAACATGTCCTTTGCAACATATACAAGGAGGGAAACAGGGCGCCAATTGCACATGTTATCAAGTTGCTTAAAGATTGCGGCAATGAGGACAAGGTTATGATAAATAGGACATGGGCACTCATTGCGTTGGCAACAGTTGTGTGCCCAGGCACTGGTAATATGGTTAACCTTGAGTATCTATCTTCCCTTGAAGACATGCACTCGATGCATGACCTCGCTTGGGATAAACACTTGTTGACACGAGCAATGGAGGAGGTTGTAGTCTTTCAAGAGAAGAAGAGGATGCAAGTAACAGCAGAAAATCCAGTAGAGTTCCAGATTTGCTCATGCCTTCCCATGTTAGCGGTATGCAACGTTTCCATGACGAGACACCTCCATCCTTTTCTTTGCTGCATTTATGTATATAGCTCGCATTTCATGTTTTTGTTTGCTAAATATCGTTTTTCATTCTATGCAGATCATATATATGGATCATGTTGATATTTCGGCCGGCCTTCCAAACGAGCATGTCATTGATTATTCTGTGTCAAGGATATGTTTTATTTGTCGAAAGGATTTCAATTGGTTGGATAAAGTTGACAAGAACAAGTTTACTCTTGTCCAGCCTTTCTACGAGAAACATACCCAAGTAATTTTGCTACATCCCTGTTTGTTTGCTTATTGAATTTGCATGTAGCAATTTTTGCTTTGTTTTCAGATTATGGCAACCTCCTTATTTTGCCTCATGTTCTTTTTTTTCCTTTCTTGTTTCAAGATCCGGAATTTGTGCAACACACCATATGCCGCACAACTTGTGGGACTGGAAATTGGTGCTAAAGCAGCCAATGCGCAGGGAGTTGGTGCCGATGTAGCTAATGGCCAAGGAAGCCAAGTTCAAGGTGTTGAAAAGCAAGCAAAGGCCACTCAATCAAATGAGGCTCAAGCAAATGTTGAGGTTGAACCAAACCTATCATCATCGCTCAACGATTGGCTGCAACAATCATTCCCTACCATGCAAGATCTGAGGGAAGTTTTTGTTCATCTTCATCTTCTCCTTTCATTTTTCATATCCTTTTTTGTTAGCCCCTGCATCAATTTATGTACCTAGTTGCAAGTGCATATTCTTTTTGCTACATCCATTACTCTGATGTGCTACAACCACATTTCAGTTTTGATACATAGTGGGTTCAGGTGCATACTTACCTGTTTTTGCTTCATCCATATCAGTAATCTGCTACAACCACATTTGTGTTTTAATACATAGTGATACAGCCGCAGGCCTACTTGTTTTTTGCTTCATCCATACCTATAATGTCCTACAAACACATTATGTTTTTGTTACATCCATACTTTTTCAAAAGGCTACATACATGATAATTCGAAGCTACGCACAAGATGACTAAATTGTTCAACACATGCCTTTGTAGGTACTAGATCAGTTCCAAATGATGTATGACAAGCACAAGGGGATTTTTGCAGCGGAGGTTGATGATGTAGTAGGGAAGTTTGGACAAGGTTTAAAGGGATTGCAGTGCAACCGGATGGCCGCTCTGCTTCATGATGTAGGAGACGCCATCACAGCTTCCGATGAGCCCAACATTTCCTTTGCAACACCTACCATGGATGAAAATCAACAGAAAGAGAGTGATGCTCAAGCTGCAAACGTCGGCATTGATGGTCAAGCTGAGGTTGAAGCTGCAATACCTATCATGAACAAGGATCAAGTCAATGGGGAGCTGAAAAAGAACCAAGAAGTTGCAATAGAGGTCGCTGAAACTCATGAGCAACAAAGGGTGAGTTTTGAGATAGAAGGCAACGTCTCACCTCGGAACCCCCACACTTCTGTGATGCACCCAGGAGTGCAACAACCGGCATTTGGGACAATGAGCCATCATTCGAGTTGTTCCCAAAGGGCTCCGAAGATTATGAGTTGATGCATGGCAACAATGAGCTTACAAACTGAAAGAGCAACCCCATCTATTCCAACATCCCTATGTGAAAGTGCTAGTATCGACTAGAGGGGGGGTGAATAGGCGATTTTTATGAAAGTCTTCAAAACATGATAGTTTCGAAGACAAACAGTAGGAATGACCTAATTGATATGCAGCGGAAGATAAACTACAATAGGCTAACCATAGTCAAGTATGCAATGATGTGAATGTACATGACTAATAGCAGCTAAGTAGTAAGGATCAGGATGGAAGATAGTATGAAGCCAATCAACAGTAGTAGTCAAGCAATGAAGTCAAACAGGTACGACAGATAGATAATGACTTCACAAAGACAAACTTAAGTAAAGGAAGGGAGAGGATAGAACCAGTCACTTGTTGAAGACACAGGATTTGTTGGACCAGTTCCAGTTGCTGTGACAACTGTACGTCTGGTTAGGGAGGCTGAGATTCAACTCAGAAGACCGTGTCTTCACCTTATTCCCCTTGAGCTAAGGACACACAGTCCTCGCCCAATCACTCTGGTAAGTCTTTAAGGTAGACTTCCAAACCTTCACAGACTTTGTTCACCGGCGATCCACAATGACTCTTGGATGCTCAGAACGCGACGCCTAACCGGCTGGAGGATTCACAGTCCTCAAGTGTAATAAGTCTTCAGGTCACACAGACAGAAAGACTTCAGTGATGACTAACACTCTTTGGCTCTGGGTGTTTGGGCTTGGTCCTCGTAAGGATTTCTCTCTCTCAAAGGCTTCGAGGTGGGCTGCTCTCAAACGACAAAAGCCGTGCACTAACTCTGAGCAGCCACCAATTTATGGTGTAGGGGGTGGGCTATTTATAGCCACAAAGCAACCCGACCTGATATGTCCGAAATGACCCTAGGTCACTAAGGAACTGACACGTGTTCCAACGGTCAGATTTCAAACACACACGGCAACTTTACTTGGGCTACAAGCAAAGCTGACTCATCCAGCTCTGGATAAGATTTGCTCTCATTGTCTTCGCTCGAAGACATAGGATTTGGGTTGAGCATCACTTATTCTGACTTAGTTCACTTGGACCCCACTTAACATTACGGTGGTTCTTATGACTCAACAAAGAAGAAAAGGAAACAACGAAACCACAGTCTTCGTGCTCCATAGTCTTCACCGAATGTCTTCTCATGTCATAGTCTTCAATATGGATATTTTCACATACCACCATTGTCTTCAATGTCTTCACACATTTTTAGGGGTCATCTCCGGTAGGTAAACCGAATCAATGAGGGACACTACCTGCATTATCCTGCAATTCTCACAAACGCATTAGTCCCTCAACCAACTTTGTCGTCAATACTCCAAAACCAACTAGGGGTGGCACTAGATGCACTTACAATCTCCCCCATTTTGGTGATTGATGACAAACTGGTTGAAGTTTTCAACGGGGATAAAGTATGTGAAATTGTAAAGGATATGATATTGTCTTCATAAGGCGCAAAGGCTCCCCCTGAAGATGTGCATATAAGTAATTTGCTTTTGAAATGCAAATGCACATGGCATGTTGTACTTGTGGAGATCCTCTTCAACTTATGAAGATAATTCATCATGCATGAAATAATATAGCAAGTAGAATGACATGCATAATGAAAAATGGACGTCTGCAGAATGATCTAAGTGCGGAAGTTATCATCGCACATGCGGAATTTATCATCGCATCACAGTAAAGCAAATAAGTAGCAGACGACCATCGAGTTTAGGTGTTACAACTCAAAGAGCCAAATGTTTCAAAAGCAAGAGTTGTAAGCACGAGGCAAAATATAATGCAACCGCCCATATGAACCCGCTTGAAGACTATCAACTCATATGCTTCTCCCCCTTTTGTCAGTAATGACCAAAAAGGTTTTAAGACATAAAGCATCTACTCGTTCTCGAGAGTAGGTGAAGCAGCAGGGTTGTCGTTGTTGCTTGGTGGTGCATACGTACTTGGTGCAGTGTCGATGCATGCAGAAGTGGGAGGCGGTGAAGTAGCATCATCTTCATCATCGATCACTCTGGCATTCACAGTTGCCGCGGAGGAAGAATAGTCAGAGTCTTCAAGGGATGGAGTTTGACGTAGGACAGCAGTCCGTGGAGGAGTGGAGTCAAACTGGAATCTTTCAGCGAAGCCATCGTCTTGAGGATCTGCTTCAGCACTAAGCAGCGTCAAACTCTTCCATGATCGCCGACAAGTCTCGTGAGCAACAAATGCATTCTTGGTGGCAAGATTTCGAATGCGATTGACATCTACCAAGAGGCTTTGCATCTATCTCTTGAGCCAATAGTGATGCTTATCTTGTTTCTGATGAAGTACCACAAGAAGTTCTCGGTCATTGAGAACACGAGAGCGCTTCTTAGGCCTTTGGGCAATGGTGCTTTCAGTGGCTTCAGTTTGCGCACGATGAGGCAGACGAGTATTTCCAGCCATTGGATAGATACGTGTTGCTGCTTGGACGCCTTCGATGGGTTGAGTGAAGCTTTGGTGCTCGACATTCTGAAGACAAAGAGGCTTCTTGGCAGGGTCAGAGTATATGGCTTCAACTGACATATCAACCTCTGGCAAAAAGATCAGATGATTGCGAGCAGAGGGCTGATAGTTGACAGATGAGTGTCGCTTCATGAGGCGCATGACCCATGGAGCATAGAACTCAGACCAAAAAGGTCAGATCCAGACGCAGCAAGTTGCATGGTGAAGAATTCTTGGGAATTGAAGCTGATGCCATTGAGGATGTAAAAGACCAATGTCTTCATGGCTCCTTCAAGCTTTGCAGCTGATGAATGTCCTTTGATAGGCCATAGAGTTCGCCTGATGATATGATATATGGTGCGAGGCAGATACTCAAGGTCATCAACAAAGAACTCCGTTGGATATTCAGCGTCAGATGGCAAAGGCTTCACCATGCTCAACATCTGGCTCATATTGGGTTCAGGCTTATGGAAGATGCTCTCCAGTGCATTGTGATGTAGTTGACAGTCAGGTTCATAGAGCTGTCCGGGAGTGGGTAGGCCAGTAAGCTCAATGATATCAAGAGCTTTGGCTTCATGATGAACATTTCCAGTCATCCACTCGAGAATCCATGTCTTGATGTCTCTGTTGTAGCCGCAATGTGGAGGGTAGCATAGAATTGAAGCAAAAGTTTTTCATTCCAGTGTTCTTTGTCTGTCACAAAGCTGAGCAGACCGGCATCACGAAAACAGTCAAGTGCTTCTTCTAAGCACGGCAGTCCAGCAATGGCTTCAGTGTCGAGGCGCATATGAGGGAAAATGTGCCCTTGATCATACAGAACGCAGAAGTAATAGTTTCGCTGCTGATAACTCCAGAACCGATTAGATGATATCCTTGGCTTTGAGTAGGGGTTCTTGGCGCTGTCAAAGAAGGTATTGTGGCTTTTGAAGCCATTTGCATTGAAGGACCCTGAAGAGTTTGCAGTACCTGGGAACCTTGGCAGTGTTGGCTTTGGTTTCTGGACCTGAGGCCTATGCTCAACATGATAATCAAATTGAGGTCCAAAGGCAGTAGGCGGAGGTACCAGAATGG